GGTTGCATTTATTTCACCGATTTAGACTCAAGCCAATTTGGAGGCTAAGTAGCTCAGTCACATGAACCAGCTAAATAAAGGGGAGAATAGGTACTTTGAGAATAACTATCAATGACATAGATAGTCTAGCACAGAAGTAAGCACCAATGTAGGGATAAGCGCACAGTTAGCTCAATCTTAAAGGGACAGGAATAGAACACGTCATTTTAACTGTTAAAAATAAAGCAAAAATCTGTACAATTACTATGAACAAATGCAAAGCCTGTGATAAAGATGGGAGAATAGTCTTCAGCCAGGCTAAGCAAAAGAAAGTGCAAATCTGATGATCTCGAGTAATAAAAATTGTTACAGGAGAATGCGATAGAGCAATGAGAAAGTAGTTATTGGATGTATGTAAGAATAAAAATGAGTAAGAGTATAGAAGAGTCGATAATGGAGGGATATAAATAAAATAAAAATAATTGATAGGTACACGAAAATAAAGATAGATAAAGAAGAGAAAAAAGAAGGCGAGAAGTAGATAGCTGGAAGAAAAGATAGATGAGATCATCTTCTAAAGAGTTTAAAGAGAGGATGCCTTTCCTTCGCCCCAGCCAACCTAGCCCGTACTGCAGCCGAGCTGGTGTCCACAAACACAGTATCGTCAGCCCCAGAAAGACTTGACATTTTGGCACCAGATCGTCTGTCAAAGTGAGATCCTGTTCGGCCGGCAGCTCCAGTACCAGGAGCAGCAAAGCCGTCTGGGTCAGGAATCAACGTCTCTTCACGACAATCCTCGTCATTAGAGGAGAGCACTTGGTGGAGGAGTTCAGCTTGTTCCTGCTTGCTGCTCAGATGCAACTGTTCGTGTTCCATCCCGGCCAGCCGAGTTATCACCTGAGTACATTTAGGAAATAATAAATTTGAAGAAAGAAAACGGATAGATGGGTGATCCAGTTGATTATTAATATGGTTATGCGAGTTACGCGTGGTTGAGTGGTTAAGGCGGTGCAAAGATATTGAGGGAGAGGTTATGGATGGAAAAAGGCGAGTGGGAGAATTAATGAGGTATGCGGGAGGCTAAAGAGACAAATAAAGAAGAATTGATGACCAAGTATTCAATGTAGAAACACAATGAACCTAATCAAAGTAAGTAGAACCAGAACATTTGTGGGTTGGTACACAAGAGAATACGACATAGGAAGTGATAGACTTGGTATTACGGACAGAAACAGAATAGACGCTGTGGAGAATAGAGCTAGTTGGCTGAGAGTAGACCTGATTTACGATAGACGTGGTCCATGAAGCAAAGGCTTGACCGTGAGAATAACTCAGGGGCTCTAGCCTCAAATTAGTTTCCCAGGTGAAGTGTGTGAAATAAAGCCTCGAGTAGCACAGCAGGGGTCGAGTGAAATACTTAAACCAGGGAGAGAGTAGACGGACCCTACGGGACAAGAGGGACATTCTGATAAGACCTATAGAAGGAGGACTGCGTAACAATAGGGCATACTCTGATCAACATTCCAAGAACAATGGTAGAGGGGGTGAGAGGATGAGAAAGCCAGCGTGGAAGTTAGAGAGTTTTCATGAAATCCGCTTAAAAGGGCACACCATACCACATTTAAGTAAGCAAAGGGAAAAAATGTGATAGTGAAGAGGCGATACGAGGATATAGGATTGGTGATTAGCCCAGGGCGGAAGGAGAGATACGATTGTTTAGCAGACAATTGGTCAAAGGATCGGCTTCACTTGTCTATTTGACGAGTTGTAGTGTGCTATTGAGACTGGCAATGCTCACTGACGATGCCGACTACGATGCTGACGAAACGTTTAAGAATGTACCACGTCCACGGCCCGATTCTGAAAATTATTATGCATACTATGA